TTCAGCAGGAACCTGCGTCAAAGGAATAAGACAGCTGACATCCTCCTCTGGCATCTGCATGCATGCGTCCATGGGTACGTGCACATGCACACACACACACACACACACACACACACACTCAAAAGGAAAAAAATACATCAGAAGGACAGAGACAGAGATTTAAAGAGGCTCTGGATAGAGATAGGTGAAGCCTGCATCCATCATCCGAAACCAAGACTGTTCAGCAGTAATTTGTGGGAGCCCTGCTCAGCCCCACTGGGATCTCTCAGGCCAGTGCCCTCCAGGATTTCCTCGGTGTCTCTGGCTCTCAGAAAGTGTAAATCTATGTTCTCAAGGTAAGCATGGTAAATCAAGACCAGGGCTTATAACAACAAAATTTCTCAGAGCTCTAAAAATTATCAACATGGGCTGGGGGTATAACTCAGTGGTAGAGTGCTTAGTGACCATGCATGATGCCCTGGGTTCAAGACTTGACACCATCCCCCCCAAAGAAACAGTAATAAAAAGAAAGAAAGAAATCAATAAAGCTGTCTGAATTTTCATAAACGATAAATGTACAGACAGGCTACCAAGAAACTGCTGGTTTCATCAGCTTTTATATATACTCTCAGCCATCCCCCCACCCCCACCCTCTCTTCTCATACCTTACAGCAATGTCTTCTGAATCAAGAGACTCCACATACTGCCATTCCCAAGGGGAGCACTTTGGTCACAGAGGAAAGCAAGCTGTAACTCCCTCTGTGTTTCAGAGCAAATACTGGCCTGTGAGGAGGGTCCCTTGGGGCTTTCTTTCATCCCGAGATGCCATTTACTGTGGATGACTTACCTGTGTCTTCGGGCCAGGGGTCCGGCATCTTTCCTCAGGCAGACTCTTCCTCTGTCAGCCTCACTCTGTGCACTGGAGCTCCTTCGTCACAGAACAAAGTGGCTGGGTGACCCTCTTCAAAGCCTGGGGCTCAGGGAGTGCCGGTGCTCACCAAGGTTAGAGTAACCACACGTTTAGTCACACATAGATCCTGGAGCCTGTGTCAGAGGAAAGAAAATACCTTGCACGTGCATGGGGTCTGATGACAGGACCTGTGGGGACTTTGTTAGATTGCAGCTGCCTGTTGACCAATGAGGCAGTTCCAACACAGGCAGTTTTACTTAGAGATAGAGCTTCAAGAACTTTGTAGTGCTTAAAATTCAGGACATGAACAGATAATAGTGGGGCAAGTCAGTAAGTCTCAGAAGATGTCAGGGTCAAGGTCACAAAGTAGTTATTCCTCATAAAGGTCAAGGGTAGCAAAATAGCAAATGTGTGCTTATAGTTTTAATTTTAAGAATATTTGAAAACCACACTCATAGCTGATGGGTATTAGAAAGTGAATGTTACCTACTCAGTTAGAAGTCAACTTCTTCAATTCTCCCCTCCCCTCCTCTACCAAAGAGGAGAACCAAACACTTGAGGTCCATGCCGCTAGTGTCCAGGCTTTGCGGGGGGACAACTGTCAGAGCCCGCACCTCTGTCCTCAACACTTTTTATGACCATCAGGTCGAACCAATATGGGGGACTTGCTAAGCCCAGTGGACACTGTTGTTCAAAAGACAGCTGGCTTATACAGTATAGATGGGTCGGTAAAACCGCAGGGCCTCAGCAGGAACACAATGTCGGACCACACCTGCAGATCCCTGTTGTTTCTTGTAAAGAGTTCATCTTTGTTGGGGCTCAGGGCAATCTGGGAAAGGGAGATGTCACTAGAACTATCACCTCAAGACCTTGCAGCCCAGGACCGATCATGAGGATAATTTCATCCATGTCGATGACATTTATTTCAAAAATTAAAACAGGAGCTGGGGAGATGATTCAGTTGGTAAAGTACCTGCCACACAAGCCTGAGGACCTGGGTTCAGATCCCCAGCACCCATGTAAAGACCAGGTACAGTGGCATGCACCTGAAATCCCGGTGCTGGGAAGGTAGAGACAGGGGAGTCTCTGGGGCTCACTGGACAGACCGGCTAGGCAGTTGGTGAGCCCAGGTTCAGTGAGAGACCCTGCAACAAAATAAGGTGGGAAGGGCTGGAGAGGTGGTGCAGCCGCAAAGGCTCAAGGTCAAAGATAAAGTGGTGTGATGAGGTGTGATCGAGGAAGACACCCGACATTGACTTCTGGACTCCACACACATGCACACGCAAATAGGTACATACCATATACATACATACATACACACTACATACATACATACATACATACATAAATACACCACATACACAGTAACCGCTAAAATGCACAGGCTGAAAGAAGACTATGAAAAATACCAAAAACATAAAGGAAAGGGGGACAGCAAACCTAAGTAAAATAAAGAAGAAAATTTTAGATATAATTAGATCAGAGAAGCCGAGCCAAATCTGGGGCCACGAGAAGCTCACCCAAAGCAAGGGGAAGGCCCGCATCAGCTCGATTAGACAAGGGCCCAGAGGGGAGGAGAGAAATGGACGGCGGGTCGGCACTAGACTGAGAACTATTGGAGACTGATGGCTGCTGGGTGAGGGAGATGATAACTTACCTACGACCACTGGATGGGCTGAGTAGACTACAGTGGACACATTTACACTGGAGGACATTTGGGTACAAACATCGGAATGAACAGGACTTAGCATCTAGGGGGGAATACATGAGGTTTGGTGGAGGGAAGCGGGGGCAGGGATGGGGGAGGGGGTCTGGCTTTGATTGAGAAATGTATGAAATTTTAAAAGCTCAGTAATTTTTTTAATTTATAAAAATAAAACTTTACTTCTCTCTGAAAAAAATGCAAGTGGAATCGGGGAGACCCTTCGCCCAGCCTCGGCTTCCTTTGGGTTGGTTTCCACAGGTTTCTTCCAGGAGGAAACTGCTGCTGACTGAGACAACAGCTTGCATTTGGGGATCTAGAGAGCGCAGACTAGACAAGAAGCTAGGAGGGAGGGCACTGGCTCTGCTGAGTGCAGAGAGGCCCAGGGGAACACACGCGCCATTAGCATTTTTATCAACCTGGCGATCTCTGAAAACAATTTTCACATCACAGAACACCCAGGGAAAGCCTGGTACAATTTCTGGAAATACTTCCGACGCCACCACCTCCATCCCACCCCCAACCCCCCACCCCGCTCTTACTTGCCACTCTGTGTTAGGGCTTTAACTTTCTGTAATCACAAGATTTAGTGATTCTGATGGGAATTCTAGCTCCGAGTGTGTCCCTACACTTCCTCTGTCTTACTTAATCCTCGCAAACTACTTCATGTTTGAAAATAAAATAATTAAGATTGCTAGGCATGGTGGTGCACTCTTTTAATCCCAGCACTCAGGAGGCAGAGGCAGACAGATCTTCCGAAGTTTGAGGCCAGCCTGGCCTACATAGCAAGTTCTAGGCCAGCCAGCGCTACACCCTGAGACCCTGTCTAAAGATAAAATAAAGCATAGCAAAAACCATAAGTAAAACTCAGAGCCATAAAAAAGAACCTCTCCAAGGTCACAGAACAAGAAAATGAAGGTCAGAGGACTCCATCCTGTACCTGTCCAAATGTGGGTTCTTCTGGCTAAACCTTTCCACTTCTGGTGTTTACTCTCCCATGACAGTCCTATTTTCTGGCCAGTGTGTTTGAGGTAGCTCTTACCTCCCAGAACCTAGTTAGAGTTGAGTGTCCAAACTCTCACCCTGACCTCTTCCCTCCCTCTGCTTGGGGCCCATCATCACAGACCTTCTCTATATCTGATAGCCACGGTCTCAGACCTTTCTAAATACACCCTCTGTTGAAAATTTAAATGAAGTCTCCACTCCAAGATGTATACACCAGAACTCAGGAGTTAAAGCCAAGGGCTTTGTCAATGTTCAGAAGAGCAAGAAAAATAAGGGCAAGCCCCCAAAGATGGCTACAAGCTCATTTATGAAAGGCTTTTCTACATGGACCTATTTTGATAACCATCCCACCATAGGAGTTCATTGGTAACTCAATACTCTGGGCCCATTTTGCCAAAATAACAACTGACGGATCCATTCACGTATGATTCTCTGCTGTGTGGTCCAGACACAGAATCCACACACATAGCTTTGGTGAAAGTGACTGCTAGGTAGGGCAGGTGTATGGTTAGAGGGACCCACTGGCCTATAGGGGAATACCACCTTTGCTCTCTCAATGTGCAATATTGAGATTTTTTTTTTCATATTATAAAATCAAAGTTACTTCCTGGAAGCCAGCTGGGGATAACTCGCACCTAGGATTGTTGCCAAAACTCCAGAGAATTCTTTCTAGGAAAGAGGAAAGATGTCCTAGGGATGACTGAACATTTTGACGTGGAAGTTAATCACAGTCACACCGGAAGTCATGCCTGCATGCATCTTTGTAACATGTTCCTGGCTGCCTTCACTTACAGGAGGAGCACTGGCCCAGAGATCGCTCCTGTTGGCCACACACCAGGAAATGAAGTCACATCTCCAGGGTCCTACCTAAAAAGGGCCACACCCATCTGTTTGCCTTTCAATGCTGAGAGCAGGAAGAAGATTTCCCCAAGAAGTCAGTGTGAAAATGCCGGGCTTTATACCTATCACTAGGTGTTCAAACTGGAGCAAACTGGTCATATTTCAGATCTTTTTCACCTGCTCTCCCTTACAAGTCCTTGTGAAGGAAGAGTTTGCTAAGTTCATTGATTCTCTTTTGGCAAGCTTGCAACTCCTGGATTTGAACAGATTAAACACAGTAAAGATTTCCTATACCAATTCAGAGGACATTACCTGAAAACTCACGAAAGTTTTTTTAACTTCAGGAAAAAAAAAAACAAGAGGAAAGGAGGAAAGACTGGAAGGAGGGAAAGACAGAGGAAGGGATAAACCATATAGAGTACACATTCCCCAAACAGAAGGACCAAGCAATTCCACTAACATATTATCATCTTTATTCTGCAACAGAGACATAAATAATTTTGTGAATTCATATGACGTATACAAAAGACAAAATAAGATATTGTAATAAATTTAGTTATGGGATATCTGGATTTAATATTTAGCTAAACAGATAAATATATACAATTTAGGGAGTTAAGGCAAAACCAGATGATACTTCAAACACAACAGGAGATTTGAAAAATAGGTGTAATTAAAAACAAGGGCATCCCATCTCCAGTTAATAAAGTGGCCATGTCTAAGGGAAAAAGAATCCCTTATGTTTTTAATAAAGTGGTTATTATCAATCATGTTAATTAAAGTTGAGCAACAAAGTAAGACTTTCCACCAAGGAGAGCTATTTTGCCAGGGTTTGGGGACTGAACATTTAGAATTCAGGTAAGCAACATTTTCCTCATCAGATTTATGATCTATTTTTTTTCCTATTAGAAAATATAATTTGGAAAATATGACTCTTTCACATATATAATTAAAATACAACTATGAAGCATTCATTTTAGGGTGGGGAGGGAGTCATGTTGGGAGTTGAGCTCAGAGTTTAAGGTAAATTTTGAGGCAAGCCATTCATTACCTTATTGGTAGAGAAAACACAATGGCAAGCACTGCAAAACAATTCCCGATCACCTCAAGAGAGCAGAAGAAACATTTCAAAGTAATAAAAGAGCAAGTATAAGTGTTTAACACAGAATACGTTCTTTGGTGGCTTCACACTAACCACTGGTTGAAGTCAGAACTTTCAAGTTCTCTCATTCTCAGACCCGCTTGTCAGTCTTTTAACAACAAAAGAAATTAAAAAAAAATCCCACATCTGCAACAAATGCAGTAATTGCAGGAAACTAAATTCAGAACAATCTTGAGACAGCTTTTGACTGTTAACATGTAAGCATAGATAAGTATTTTTCTGCTTCAAGTTCCGATCCACGTATTTGGAAATGTGCACACACACACATGAAAATAATCTGTGAAACTTTGCGTTGGTCCAGACAGGTCTAGAATCCTTAAAGAGAATCCGTATCCACCCATGAAAAATAAACAATGAGAGACATGAATCCAGGACGAAAGAAGATCTTCCAGTAACTCAAGGGTGGGCTGCCCCTCACTGTACGGACACCGTAGAGAAACCAAATTCTATAGGGGGAACACCAGAAAGCCAGAGAATGTGGAATATTGCCAGCCACCAAGCAAGTTACCTTTCTCTAGTTTCAGGTAAACCTTGTCTTCTTTGTCCAGGTAGAGCAGGACTCCATTAGTAGCGGCCTCACGGGTCACGTCTTTATCCCCAGCAAAAGCAGATATCACTGGTTTTCCATTTAACATCAGATTAACCTAGAAGGAAAACACAACCACTGAGAAGTTCCCTTTAAAATCAAAGCATCTACCATGGAATAAGGTCTAAGAAGACTTCTCTGGTCACATACATGATATTCAGGAATTATTTCCCTTTCCCTTCAATCTGGACAACAGTGGGGTCAGACTTAACATATCTACACACAAACACACACACACAAACACACACACACAAACACACACACACAAACACACACACACACACACACACACACACACACACTGATATATGCTCGTGCGTATACATCTATAAAATTTTCCCATGGAAGTTTCCTTAAATTCCCACAAAGATAGCATCATCCAGAGAGCAACCTAGTCATGAGAAAACTGGTTCCCTTTCAGCTTGTAAATGAAGCTTACTGCTGGTCTCATGTACTCAGCGGCAATCTTTTGGTAATAAAGTGGATTGGTGGCTTCCCAGTGCTGGGATCTGACAAAGCCAGACACTATCAGACTCTGCCAGCATTATGTAGGTTTGGTCACTGGAGCTTGCATAGCACTAAAAGTCATATGAAATGTCAGAGAGTTTCCAGGGAAGTGCATGTGTGTTCTACACATTCCCATTTTCCGTGTTAAAATTAATATTGAATGAATTAGATTTAAAGCTAGTAAATTGACTGATCCACTAGACTCCATAAAAGTGACAGATCACTTTAGATGACTGTAACATCCATTCACTCACAGAGACATAACACGTAATACAAATGTTAATGCATACAGTAAAACATATCCTAGAATCCCAAAGGCATACACTTGTACTTTTTATAATTAATGTATTATAATACTATAGGAACTATCTCCACAGTGCTCCAGAGTGTAATGTCTAGTTTGCAGTCTGACCAGGCACAACACAAAATATATTGCTAACCACAACCTGCTACTGCTAAGACTTTTACTAGTACCAGAGTGCCCAAGCATAAGCATAGCACATCTTCTTTCTAAAGTATAATAAATGGTTGTCCCTTCATGGGCTTATTTTAATAGTTAACTACATCTCATAATTTTTAAACAATAGTAAATTTGTTTTATTTATTTATTTATTTAGCATGAATTTATAAGTCCCGATATTTTTTACAAGTCATTTTTCCTTATAATGTCAAATAATTTTTGTACATGCATGATCTTCTGAAGAGACATGTCAGCAAATTTTTGCTAAACCATATTTTTTACATGTTTAGCTGCAATCAAGATAATCACATCAATTCCTGTTTTTCTATATGCTATTTGTCACACACTTGAATGGCTGTTGTAATGAAGAAAATTGGAAACTAAATGTTTTAAAAGTAAACTATAAGGGTGGCTGATTATCTTTACAATGCAAACACATCTTTGAATAAATACTTAGATATACAACCCACTAGAGATAAATAGATTTTTAGGAGTAGAGACAGAATGGGTCAAAACACACACCTGGATTGTTTGACTCTGATAGACTTTAATTACATGAAAACTGAAACTGTAAATTCCTTTCCTTGGTGCCACGAAGACAGATTCCAATGTGAAAAAATTGCCCACGTTAACTAGGATCTACAAATAAAAATAATAGTAATTATTGTCATTTCTTCTGTAAGAAAAAAATTCCCTCCTTCTTCCCTCTGCTCCCCCCTTCCCTTCCTCCCTCCCTTCCTTCCTCCCTCCCTTCCTTCCTTCTCCTTTCCTTCTCTCAATAGCCAGCTTCAGAGACCATAGAGAATAAATCAACTGGTTCTGTTTTCTCCTCTTAAGTGATGGGAAAACGGACTTGCACAATGGAAGGCTCTTCTACGTTTTAAATAGTACAGGTAAAAATAACTCTGTAATATTCACTCCACAATTTCCAGGCCTGATATCTCTGGACTTATCAAGGTAACATGTGAAGGCTTACACTAGCTTTGCATTTAGAATCAGAGTACAGCATCTCCCATATCCCCACCATCTACAAGCCTCAGCAATGTCCAAAGTGACGTTGCCCAGCCAGCCAATCGACATTCATGGGCTCTCTGTAGTCCCCCAGACACATCACAGAGGTATCCCACCCCTTCCACCAAGAGGCATCATCCACGACACTGAACAGTTGGTGCCCACAGGGACAGGAATGCCTGGCTCATCCCTGAGCCTCCAACCAGGGCTCTCCGGAGATCTGTGGTCATCCTTTTCATTTCTGTGCCATGTAAGCCTTAATTACAATGCATTGGGAATGAGTCAGCTGTCACTGGCTGCCAAAGGGGAGGGCACATATAAGGCAGACAGTGAACCAGGCAGCCTCACATGTTCCTCTCAGTGGCATGACTTATCTTCCTATCAATCACCTGCAATTCATTTGAAGTATAAGGGTCAAAAGTGAAACTAAAAGCTCTGTTTCTAGGAAAGCTACAGTGCACTTTGTATGCCAGGATGGTTATGAAATAACTCTGAATTTCAGTAAGTGACTCCTCAGTCAAATTTCAGTGCCTCAGAGGTGAATCACGTCCTAAGAGAGAATGAGAAGTAAACAAAACAATGAAGATGTCTTTCATGTCTCTCCAACAAATACATTCATAAAGGGTGCCCCCAAAATGATATACACCTATAAAAATACATTTCCTATTTATCAATGGCAGCCTGTTGTTATCTCTTTTAAACAGTCCTTCTTGTCAACATTAATACATCTTCATACCTCTTCAGTAATTTCCTCTAAGTGCACTATTGACTGTATACAGCAGACAGAAATGTCAGGATGGTGAGATAAATGCACCAGGCTCAGCCCCTGCCTCGAGGCGAATGTATGTGTGTGACTGTATTGAGATTCTGGTTTCTTCCCAGTAGGCATCAGATTTCTGTTCTCTGACTTGATACCCGAAGGACTTTCAACACCAAGCCACCAAACTCTATAAGAATCACCAGAGAAACCTTTGCCAAAAACCAATTTTTCAAACGCATTTAAAACAATGTAAAGTTCTTAGCAGAGATTTCCTGATTCACATACAAGAGGCATCCTTCATTGGTGATCATGTAGATGCCTGATTGGTGTAGACTACACAACGAAGCTGGATGTGGACTGTACAGAGTAACTGGAACATCCACACACATCAAGATTTATAACTAAATGTGTTTTGTTGTCTCTGAGATGCATGGCTCCCTGAACAGAAGAATAAATCCTTTTTTTCCTCTAGTGGGAAGGTCACTGAAAAGAATTCCTCACACAAGAGATAGTTCAGTGTTCACAGTATTCCAATATTTATTGCATTGAAATACAAACCAGGGGTGGTGCCAGACTTTGTTTCATCACTGTGGAAAAGACTGCAACAAAATCCCCAAAGGTACTACTTGATTCTCTCTCTCTCTCTCTCTCTCTCTCTCTCTCTCTCTCTCTCTCTCCCTGTGCACCACATATCTTTAGCTGTCAAGTTGAAACAC